CTTACGGCTCAGTTCGAGATAAATGCCATGTGTACTTCCCTAGACATTGAGAATAAGGTATAAAATCAACAAACATGATAAACACATCTCTTTTCAACAAGCATGATAAATGCATCCCTATACAATCTTTATACTCAAAAAATGTCTTAGATGCTAAACATCCAAAACCTGCATCAACTTTGTGCATGAAGACAGTGCTTATGCTTACCTTATGTTTCCTTAATCCCTGTAAAATCATTTCATACTGTGGATTTTGGGTGTATTTTTCCCCCTAATGTATTCAGACTTTACAGGCTCAATTAAGTCTGCAAATTATATATTTGTTTTCTAAGGCTTTCCCCCCAGCTACTGAGTGGTTTTAAGTTTGTCATTTTACATAGTAATAAAATATAATGGCTTTTTAGTGGACAGCTCAAAATGCAATTATGTGTTTGCACACAATCAATTAAAAGCATTGTCTGCTCAAGACATGCCAGAGAAGGTCACACTATTCCATAGAAAGCTTCTGTTCCAGAAACAAGTTCTTCTAAAATGTTCACCTTTTGATGAAGCTTGCTTCCAGGCACTGATCAGTGTGCTAAACCTTCAGTGTGTTAAGATATTTTCATGTGTCTAGCTGCTCCAAATGTGCAAGAAATTTGAGAAAAACACCATGGAAAAAGTACTTAAATATTTTTCCAAGCTAATATTGAGGCCTGGATATTTTGAATCTAATTTTTCTTGTCTGGTGGCTAAGAAAGGTAAATTATAACATCCCATTTCTTTATAGCAAACATTGATTATGACAGATTATTAATCTAGAGATGGAAAGGCCAAGCAGTCTACTGAAAAAGGCCATACAGAGGTGTGGGCACTTGAAGAATAAGGAGAGTGATAGTATTTAATTTGTAAGCTGAAATGCAAGTACAAATACCTGTTGTTAGAGAGTTGGTCAACTTCTGTGATATGCCCAGAAGATCTGCACAGCCTCTTCCCTGCCTCCCAAATGGGATGAGTGCTCTGGGGAGTGGTTTTTTTTTTGGAGGGAGCACAGCAGGGATGGTGCTTTCCTGAACAAATTCACACAATTTCTAGTGCAGTGTTCACCTAAAATTACATCCCCGTATTGCACTCATTTTTGAATTTTTGATTTTTAGCTATCAGGAGAGCCAATTCTTAACAAATAAATTTTCAGTGCTTTTCTTAGGACAGTTTAAGGATGATTCATTTGTCAGGAATTTACAAACAAAGGGGATTTATGATAGCAAAGGTGTGGAGAAGATAAACAGCAAAGGTTGTCCTTCCTTTGAAGCCCTGTGACTTGTTTAGTGGTTTAGGTGTCTTGGAGTCACTTTATTTAACAGTCTTTACAGTCTGTGAGTTTTTGTGTTTTCAGAAATGTGGCTACCTGCATCAGGCTGTTTGCTTTGTCTGAGAGACAGCATGGGGCTGTTGGGTACTGAAATAGCATTTTCTGGAGCTGACAGTAGTGTCAGCAGTTTGTTCCTGGCCATACCCTCTCTTTCTCTACAATGACCAAGTCTGTATTTTGCAGAAATGCCTGAATTAAATCAGGTACAACAGCCACAGTAACTGCAGCATGTCATGGAAACAACCTGTCTGCCTGTAGATCTTCAGCAGTCTTTCAAATTAGTTATATGAGCATTTAAAATGCCCTCACATAATTAAAATATATTACTGTCACTCCAAATAACATGGGTGACAAGGTATCATGGTATCCATTGTGTGCTAGCTTTTTAAAATTATTATTAATTTATTCAGTTATATCACAACATCTTATTGGTTTGGAATTGAATTTGAAAGCACTAAATGAAATCTAAAGTTGTCCTTAAGATTGATGGGAATTGCCTTTTGCTCACTTTTATACACATGTGTGTATATATATATATATATATATATATATATATACACACATATATACATATATATAGGTATATATACACACACATATATATATGTATATATATAATGTGCACACATATTTATATGCATATCTGTGTGTGTATCTGCTTTTATACACATACATATTTGGAAAACAGGATAATGCCTTCATTTCTTCACTTCTAATATGTCTTTAATCCCGAATTTCTGAATGCATTGGGATTTGTTTGTTTGTTTATGCTTATGCTTGGCATTTTTTAATATGGACAAAATAATTCCTAATAAAGAGCTTTAAAAATGTTTATTTCTCTGAAAAGGGAGTTTACATTGTGCAACACAGAGGACTGAGGATAGGATTGGACCTAAATCCGAGGATTTGGGCTTGATACTTTCAGCCTGGCGTGACACAAGAATTCCCTGTGTATCTGTGCCACCCATCTGTGCTTTGGTATTTCTGCCTTTAATATAGGCCTGTGTTCTTACAGTTGGGTCCCAGATTTTAAATCAGCTGAAGAATGGGAAAATAGTAAAGAAGAAACTAAAAAATCCTGGAAGAGCAGTATACTACCTCTAAGAACACTGAAGGAGTTCTATTTTCCCATACGTGTTAAAACATCAAATGTGCTGAAATTGAATTTTAAGAATTATTTTAAAATAAAATATGTACTTTTAGGACATTAAAAACAACAACAACAACAAAAAAGCTCCATGATGATCACTTGGGCAGTGCCTGGGTGGCTGAGCGCCAGAAAGCCAGCAGTGGGTTTGCTTTCCAGGCTGCACCTTTTGTTCCTCAGAGCAGCAGGGAATGGCAGCAATGCGGATGCAGCAGTTTAGCTCCTGGGCACAAAGGGATCCTTAATGCCAATTAAACAGGAGACTTAATGAGTACCAAAAGCAGCCCCCAAGCCAGGCCTCTTTAGCTAAAAAAAAGATGGGAAGGCAACATGTTGTAGGAAATGATGGAATTCTGAAAATCCCATAAGAAACGAGGAACACTCTTTGCTTTCCCTGCTGCATGCTCAGCTCTCTCACTGTGCTAAAAGCAAAGCTGTGTAGAAATACAGGGGAGTAACTGGTGGAACTGCCCGGTTTAGAAAGTGGCTTTTTGCTTGCTGGGGGACTGTTTGTGGTCAGTGTGTTATTTCTAACTAAAATGGCACTTCATAAAAATAACAAATTGTTGGCAACCATTGCTCTTTGAATTCTATTTCTAGGTCTAGTCTCTATTTCTGTTCCTCTCGGTTGCTTTTCTCCTAACAAATCAAACTTCAGGATTGCAGCAGGAAATTTAGATTTAACCTCAAGAGTCAATGTTTTGTCTTATGTCTGCTCTAATGTGATACAGATGTTGCAACTGCTGTACGTAAGGCAAGATTTTATTGAACCAGCGCTCCCTGCCTAATAGAAAACACAGCTAACTGGAGAGCACATTAAACACAGATCACTCTGAAGGCACTAAGCCTGTGAATTCTAGAAATGTATTGACAAAATACTTGGGACATTACTTCAATTGCTCATCCTTAGCTGTTTGATAGGGAGTTTCTGCCATGGAAAAGAAGCAGAGCTCTTAATTGTTTTAAGAAGCAAACCCAAAAGGTAAATATTAAAAAGAATGCAATACCTGAAATTATTTACAGGCTGGCTTTTCTTTTTTTTCCAATTCTTTGTTTCCCTCTCTTTAGCAGATAACCAGAAAGACAGGAGAGACAGATTATCTATTACATCCCTTTTTACTTCTTTTTTTTCCAACAATCCTGATCTCCACTTTTCTTTCATGTTTTCCTTTTCTTGAGTTGCCACTGTGGCCAGGGCTTGCTAAATACTTGGACATGTCCTTAATGAGGACTGAAGGGTAAACACTGACATTTCTCAAGACACTGCTATGTCACATTAGCCCCAGTACAAAATCATCTGAAATCATATCTTTCCTCTAATAATTTTTTCCCTCCATATTGCTAATAATGAGATTTAAGTTTTCTACTTTTCTTTGCAGGCAGCACAGTGCTTCTTAAATGATATATTTTTGGTCAAAACCAGAAAGTTTAACACATCAGAGTGCTTTTCCTGCCCATAATAAAATAGGAATTATGTATTAATTTAGTGCACCACGCCCAAGTCTCATGCCCTACAATAAAAGAACCATGCAGAACTGTGCTACCCAGGGCAATCTCCAAGCAGCAAATTGACCAGGGAAAAGCCCTCAATACACAATAAGTGGGGGGAAAGTACAAACCAAAGAGCTCTACAGGGAATGACATCGATTTAAAAAGTCATGTGTATTTTCACCTAGTTAGGACTGACTCACATAGTGGCTTTTTTGTTTAAATCTCAAACTTCCACTTGTTGCTGAAAGTCTCCTTTGATTCTTGGGTGGACCAGTGTGTTTTGAATGGGAGTGTTGGAGTACAGCTGGGTCTTCAGGCAGCTCAGGGGCTGCTGGCAGCTGGGTTGATAATACCAGCAGCAGTGCAGGGACACACAGCATTAGCAAAGGTGAAACCCTTGTGCTTTGTGGGTTAAAGCTGAGCTCCAGAAACACCACAGCTGTGTTAAAAAGGAAGTCAAAAATTCTCGCTTGTTCAAATAATGGACATGCCATAAAAAATCATTAATTTCAGCTATTGTATTATCAAAACAGATCATTAATTGACCCTTTATATTTTGAACTATAAACTTATTTCCCCACTAATGTGAACAGCCCAGCTTGAAGTTTATTGTCTTTCTGTATTCCACTGGAAGGCTTTTGGTGTTAGACTCAGGTTTTCCTAGATAAATTGCAGCTCATGAAAAGTAGGGCTGTTCTGGGTCCAGCAGACAAACCTGTATGAAAAACAATTGATCCTATCAATTAGCTATATCAGAATTTTTGTTTTAAATTCTGGTCTTGTCACTCATTACACAGGAAATTCTGTATCAGCAACTATTTCTAGCAGCTAGCTTTTGGGAAAAAAGAGGACAGTTTTATTATTGCCTAAAGCCCCCAACCTTAGTTCATATCCTGTAATGAGTACAGGAATACCAAATCATTTTTAGAATAGTACACAAGGTCTGTTATCATATGAAAAACCACTGAGGTCATCAGTGTTGAATTACATATTAATATTTTTCTCTTCCAGGCTTCAGTTTGTTTCTATCATTTCCACAAACACTATACAACATTCACAGGTAAGTTAATTAACATTAAATAAGTTCTATCACCTCCTGTTTAATTCTGTGTTTTTAATGGTTTCCTCATTTACAAATACATGTAATGCTTGAAGTAGACTAGCTTCTTTCATCCAGATGTTGTCCTGATAATGTAGCAAAGGTTTTCCTGGTGAGTTTTCAGAATCTGACTGGTTTCTTTTTCATGTTTACAACTCTCTCCTTTTCCTTTCACTTGCTGTTTACCAGGCAGCTCACAGTGGTCCTGCACAGTAAACTGATAAAGGCTCTGTAGTAAAAAACACTGCATTTAATTTGCAATCAAATGTGATTTGTAACTTCTGCCTGTGCTGGGTGGAATGCTGTAGCTGACCATCCTGCACTCTATGAAGTACTTAATTGTCTTCCTGGTCCTTCTGTAAAACTCTCTTCTGTATGCAGTCTGCAGATAATTGCTATCAGATGTAAGCTAGGCAGGCAGCAAGCTGTGATTACATCTAAGAACTGGCTTGCTGCACCCAAGAATTTTATATTCAGTGAGTTCATATTCCAATGGCCTATTTTTATTAATGCTGCCTGCCTTCCCCTAGTATTTGCTAGCTCATTTCACTCATCTGTCACTTCAGGTCTCCAGGTCCTAAGTGTCCTGGAGGAGGGACTCTCACTGCCTGTCTTCAGGAATTAGTGGAAACTAATACTAACATTTAAATTTTAGAGATTCTATAAGACAATGCCTCATCTCTCCTACAGAGCCCTTTTTGTGTGGTGGCACTCAGTGCAGTTACCAGAGGCATGCACAGCCCCAGGTTTGGGGCAGGAAGTGTGGAGAGTTGGGAGATGTGAGGACCTGCAGAAAGGCTGGGCTGTGGGGCAGGGGCTGGGAACCAGCCATGCAAGGAAATCTTGTTTGGGAATGACTGAGGGGAGGAGGGAAGCACCTTGTGCATGCCAGCCCCTGGCAGGAGCAGCCTTTATCCTAATGAGCATTGAGGGTTTGGTTTCCTTCCTTTCCTCTCAGGACTTTTGTTTAGTATTTTCCTTTTCAAGTCATCACTTGACATGGTTCCTCTCTCTGCTAGGCTTGTCATTTCTCTGAGGAGAAGAGCACAAAAGATTTTAAACTACCAGTCAGGTTTACTTGAATGGTGCATGCACGAGCTCTTTGGTGATGAAGGATTTGAGTTTTCCAATCATCCCCTCTCTTTTTTCATCCTGATGCCTGTTCTCAGTTGTTATTTTAGGAGTAGGTGATTCCTTTTTGTCATGAGAAAGATATTTCTTGGATTTTTGTCTAGCTGTTTCTATAAATATATATGTTCAAAGATTTTAAAGAGGACATTTCCCAGTACATTTCAAACACAGAATTGCTCTTCTGAACTAGCTGTATGAAGGAATGGTTTAGTGGTAGTGAACTTAGAGTTTCCATTTCCCTAGCTGACAGAAAATGCAATTATTTACTATTTTAAAAAACAGCTTAAAATGCCCAAGAAAATACAATGTATCATTAATTTTTTCTGTGTTCTAATTAGCCAAAAAGCCTCCCTTTTAGGCTGTATTTGGGCTAAAGTACCTAAATCCTAAAGTACAGGATCCTCAAGCAGCATGACCTCCAGACTTAAACAATGCAATACCTGCCAGCCATGTGCTTCACTCTGCTGCTGCTGAAAACGTGGGGTGTATTGAAACTTAAACAAGTTTATGTCTCATGTTAGAAGTTTCATCCTCTAAAACCATAGATTTTGAATTCACACACATCTGCATGCTTGAGAGTACTGCAGCTCACTTTGTGTGAGTTTACTGGTCCTTTGCCAGACAATGGTGAGCAAGCAAAGTTGATCAAGAGCTATGTGAATAAATCAGTATATTTTAACCCCAGAAATAAATATACTACAATTTCTTGTAAAATGTCTGGTATCTAGCACATTTGCACTGGTTGCAAGAGGAATTCTTGGGCTGAGTTTGGTCTAGAGTTGGAGGTTACTGTGTAGAAATAGAATGGATAAAATGGCTTTCTCTACAAAATTATTGTATTTATTTCCAGAGCACATTTAAAGAAAACGCTGAAGAATGATTCTCTGTATGAAGGACTGCTACCTCTTGTGTCACCTCTGTTGCTGTTCATTCTTCTTACAGTCTGGGTGGTTTTATCTCCAAGCAACATATTAGCAAAGCAACCCAGACTGTTTTTATGGATGGTTGGGGTTACTTTCTCAAATGTTATTGTAAGTATATTTGAGGTGGTGGCATTGTTTAGAGATAGCTTTCTATTTTTCTGTGAATAAGCAGAAGGGAGCAGAAAATGTAGCTAAAAGCAGCAGTGCCCCACAGCTCTTCTACCTCAGTGTTACACTATGTCTCATAAAAATACACCACAACACGTGTCTGGAGTGGGGACACTTACAGTACTGAGATACCTCCTCTGCCACAGTGGAACACTTCTGTGAGGGTTCTGGTTTGTTTTCTGAGGGTTTATGAAAACCCTAGGGATGCCTTACTTCCAGAAATATAACAGATACTCCCCAGCATACAGGCAGAACGGGGGATTTGTCAAAGTAAAAGAGAGGTCAGCACTGGCACAGATTTACTAGCCAGAGTGGAGGGCTTGTAGCTTTCCCCTGCTCTTGTGTCCATTACAATGGTCCATGCATTCCTGTATCCTGCAGTTCAGCTGGTCCTACATTTTCCCTTCACCATTCAGAGAAAGGCTGTAGCAGTGACAGCATGTTGTAGGGAAAGATGTGGAGAGCTGTAGGGGCCTGTGATGGCTCTCTGCTCACGGATTAGTCTCTCCTGTACCACGTCATGGTGACCAGTTTCCCCCCTTTCATTCCCAAGGGACAACACAAACCTCTGTGCAGTTCTAGCAGGGGCAGCCAGGCAGTGGTGGGTGCTGAGCCCTGCAGATAACCCAGGGCTTTCTTCTCTGGGGGAAGCCAGGAGAGCAGGCAAGCAGAAAGGTGTTCTTGCATTTAAGCAAAAATACCCTAGAGGATAGTGAGTAGTGTCATCTTAGGAAAATAGACTCCAACTCCATCTAAAATCTTGCCATTGAGCAATGCTAGATCCAGTTTAAAAAGTGGAAGGCTAGAAGTGTGTTTCACTATGAGACACATCTTCAAAAATGTGAGGTTTTAAAAGAGAAAGTATAGCCCCTTTAGAAATATGAATTCAGGAATGGGAAAAAAAGTTATAATTGTGATGTTTGTTAGATATGTCCTATAAATGTACATTTCTGAGGGTCACAAATCAAATAGTTCCATCTTAAGGACTTAATATCACAAAATGACTTGATTTTCAGATGTGTTTTATTGTATGCATTATTCATTACCTAATCTACCCCTTTTTCTTAAGAGAATAGTGGGGATTCCAAAATGAGAAATACAATTGCTTCATGCCAGTAGGGAAAATGCTTTCAGAGTTTGGCAGATGGCACATTCTGCACATACATCTTAACCAACCAAGAGTGATTGTGGCAAGATGCTTGCAGAAGAAAAATAGTAAGGCAAACCAGAGGTTTCTTTACAGGCTGCAGTTTATCAGTGACTGAGTGCAATATGTATTCTTCAGGCTTTTTTATTTTCCCAAAGCATATATTGCAGTGTTGGAGGCTCATGTGAATTAAAAATGTATGCATGTTAGCTGAACATTTTAACATTTTAAAAGCAAGCATTAAAAATGTACGGGTGTTAGTTGGAATTTGTAACATTCTAGAGTTGAAAATCAAGCCTGCATTTCCTTTCACCTCTTCTGGTTCCTTAGACATGTTCCCTCCAGCATCAGAGGAAGGCTTGTCATGGCAATACTTTTCTTCTCCATGATAGCCTGACACATTGGGTTTCCATTACCTGTTCTGCAGACCACACACTGCAGAGCATGGCTCTCTACCTGCCATCCCAGTTCCAGTATCTGGAACTTCTCATGCCTTTGACCATGTATTTGGTCACCCAAATGTGTAAGTTTAACAATGGTTTAAAACAATGTGAAATGCAACCTATGGTCAGCTTCAGTTATGTAGTCAGAAAAATTATAGCTTATAGATTGCTTTAGCAATTTATGTTACCCTCTGGAATGATTCCCAAAGGACTCATAAAATCAGTGTTATTTAAAAAAATTCACAATCAATACTGAGAATATAAGTGAAAATATTAACATTAGGTACAAAAGCTTACTTCCACTATTCAAAGTTAATTATTTTTCATGGTTTATTTTTGCATTCTTCAGTTTCCACAGCACAGGCAGTAAAGCCAGTATTTCTTTCCTATGGTCAGACTCCTACTGCTGCTGTCATAAGATTTCAGGCACTGCACAGGGAATGAGTTTTTCATTCTTCTGCTGTTTTCAGGGTACATAAAAACTATTTTTAACCACATTTCAATTTCAAGTGAAACTTAAATCAATAAAATATTTCAGATGTGCCTGAATTCCTTTACTTTTTTGTAATGGGCATGATATATATGAGACATATTTCTTAAGGAGCCTAAGCCAAACAAAACACTTTGGTGTGCTTAATTGCTTTTAAAATACTGAATTTCAAGTGAATTAGTCTCATTATGTTTCCAGAACTCAGTAGAATTAAGCTAATTGTCTTTAGTTAAACCATGCACCACATATTCATTTTTTCCACCATTCTGAGGAGGATCCCTTTCTCTGGGCCCCCAGCTGCATCTCCAGGGAGCCCACTGCCATGACCGAGCCAAGAAATTGGTGTTTTAGTACATAAAGGAGTGCTAGAAAAGAGAAAGAGGATGTGAAAATTTCGTATATTGTCTTCCCTCCCTTCTAAACAATGAACCAGAAGATATTTCTGTCAGGCTTCATGATTAAAATACCAGCACACTCTCCCAGTGATTAATTAGGTGGTGGCACATTTGATTTGAGATCACAACTTTATGAGCCCCTGTGAAAACATAAGGTGCCAAACAAATTCCCCTTTAGTGAAGATGTGCTTCTGCTTATCAAGTGTATCAGAACACTGTCTCTAGGAAAGGGTGTATGTTGGGGTACCAGTTGTTGGTTTCTCTCGGTCTGGATTGAAGGCACTTGAGATGGTAGTTCATGTTGGGGACTCAGGTGTTTATTATTTCTTATCAGTAGTACACTCTCACTACTGTGAGTTTGGCAGCTTTTCATCAGAAGGCACAAAATGGCTAACAATCTCTTGTTACAAGGTCTTTTAAGACTAAACTATCCAATTAAGAACTGACACCTGGATTATTTTTCCTTTTAACCTAATAACTGATCCCAAAGAGCCTGCAATGCAGACTTTCCTGCCCAATTACAAAATGCCACCCAAACCCAAGTAGAAGAAGGAAGAAGAAGCATGAAGAAGAAACCCAGAATGACACCCTGTGCCCTCCATCTTGCTTCCATCCACAACAGACTAAAAATCCCAAAATCTACATTTCTCACCAAGTGATACACCTACACTACTCTCTATAATCTATTTCACACTTTTGTGGATTCTAGTCTATCTTGAAGTCTAGGAAACTTTCTCCATGAATGAGGGTCAAAGTCAGTGTTCCCATGCGGGTCAGGGCACCTCAGAGCAGAGACAGAAATATTGTGGTTTCCACAGGTATATTTTAAACTGTAATAATGTCCTTCAGGACCCAGTGAGGCACAAAGGTCTGTGCCTACAGCAGCCTTCTCACCAGAAACCAGCCCCATGCTGAACTGCAGCCTTGTTTCCCTCTCACCCAAAGCAACCCATGGAGAAAATGGAAATACTTTTCCTTAGACCTTCGGGGCTGGCCCAGCACTTCTCACCTGGCCCCTTTTGCCCCGGCAGTGCAAGGTGATCATCTGCCAGATGAGCAGCACGCGCCCGGAGCTGTTCCACTGGTTCCTGTTCCCGCTGGCGCTGGTGGTGTACGCGGCCATCCTGGGGCTGCTGGGCCCCATGGAGGAAGCGGTTCTCGCCATGTTCACCACCCTGGTCACGGCTGCCCACGTGCACTACGGCGTCTGTGTGGTGAGCAGAGGGGTCTGGAAACAGTTTCTGGTTGGGGCATTGTCTGGGAGTCTGGATGTTTACATTGGGTTTTTTTTAGTCCTTTGCGTTGTGTTATTTAGTCTAAAGTTAAAAAAAAACCAAACCATTTTGTTGCAGGAGGCAATGCTTTTTTGCATGGGCAGCAACTTCAGTGACTTGAATTATTCCAATGTAGCCAACTCGTTTCGGCTTTAGGCCCATCAGAATTAGAATATTTATAGACTGGTTTTACGTAGCCGTCGACCCATGAGGCATGAATGCATCCACCTCTCTTTTTTTTGCCTTTCTTCTTCCTAAGGTCACTTGACTGAAAAAATAGGAAGGTAAAATGCAAAGTGACATAAATAGAAATAATAAAATAAGGTCAACTTTGCTTTGAATCTGCAGGCAAAATAGCTGTCCCAATTTTTTTCTTGGCCCTCTGCTAGCATCTCTCAAGCTGGTGACATGAATAGTTTTCCAGCTCATTCAATCTTACCAGCACATTTTTGTGTCTGCTAACATCTCAGTCTTGTCACTGTCATCTGAACTACTGCCTAAATTTTTACTTTGTTGAGGCCCACTTTTCTAAATTGTGAAATGATCCTTTAGCAACTGTTTTAAAGGCTTGAGCTTTTAGATAAAACATCTTGCATGGTAAAGGTCTCGTTTCAGAGGGAGCTGGTCAGTGTTCTTTTATTTAAGCCACAGCAATGGGATATAAGGATTTTTCTTTGAAAGCAGCCATTTGTCAGCAGACATTGGTGGCATAGTAGAGTCTACCTGAGCATTGACATGGGCCTGTTGGTGGGGGTCAGAATGGAAATACCTGGTCAAAATTCACAATTGACAGAGGGGTCCAGCTCCATCACAGCTTATGTCATCTGTGAATCCAGTCTGTAGCCATTTAACTTTCCAGCAGTGTGTTGCAAGAGGAATGTAAGGAAAACAGCTCTCTTGTTTGAATACTTACAGGTCCCCGTGTACTCAGAGATCCCCAACTATGTGAGGACTGAGGTTGGGTCCCCCCACTCTTACTGGGAGAGGAGAGGCAGTGAATTGTGAAGCAGATACAAAGCAGGTTACTAATCTCTGTGATTTCTCTTTAGGGTCGGCAGCTGAGCGAGCACTTGAACATTTACATCTTCTCCCTGAAGAAACGTGTCCAAGAGTGAACACCTGCACTACGATCAGACTGGAACACTTGACATGGAGATTTGCAGCTCTTCTGATGTGATAAATAGTTGGAATGTATCTGATTAAAATAACCAAAGAATAGAATAGTACAGATATCTGAACCACTGCAACAATGAGCTATGCAGCCAGATGCCTCATCTCAGAGGAAGATGCCTGTCCAGCAGAGAACTTTACCAAGTTGTTCTGTTGATATTTATTCTTTTTACCAAGCTATGTTACTCGCCTCTATTTTGTCTTCCTCTGCCTTACCACTGTGTCCAAAGTCCTGGATCAATGCATGCTGGGCTACACAAGATCCTTGGTGGTTTATAACCTGCACTGGTTTAACCCAGCCTAGTCACCAGTGGGACCCCAGCAATGCAAACCCTCCCTGTGCATCCTTCCCACTCACACATCTGTGCCTGCTTCATTTGCCGTATTTAATTTTCTCACAGCTCATTTCTTCCACACAACCTCCTGAAAGGTTTATGCACATTTAGTCTTTTCCTCACCTCATTTGAATGTGTGAAGACAAGAGAATGAGCTCAGAAAGCTACGGGTACAGTAAAGTGTTTTTGAAACGTACAGTTTTTTCCCCATTCTCAGCATTGAGTCTCAGTTGACCTGTCAGAAATGTAGGCTTAACACAGCAGCAGCTGGCCCTTCTATTTATTTTCTAGGCAGTAACAAGCACATTGTTTATATTTCAGTAGCAACAAACAATATAGCCTACAAAGGTAAACAGCTGAAAATAAATTTGGCCAGCGAACCTTCGAAGATTTGCATATTTCTCTTCAAAGCTAGTTTCAGTCCAACATCATCTACCAGTGCAAAATGCTAAACAAGTCATTGTTTGCCTGTGTGCTTGAAGCAAATTCTTGTGGTTTTGGAAAATGCCATAGGAAAAAGAAACAAGAATTATTTTTTTTAAAAACATAACATGTTTGCATGCAGATGTAAACTGCTCCCTTTATCTATAATACACGTGGGTTTTCTGTGTGCCTTGGAGAGGGAGTAAGAATTTGAGTTTCATGTCTTTTCATAAGCTGCCCTAGCCAGAGGGCTTTTGTGGCCTTGAAGCACTAATTAAACAATCTGTCCACTTCCCCAAGGTAAGCACAGAGGGATGTGATTGACAGCCTGGCACATTTATTTACTATTTAACCATCTCACTTGCCAGAAGCCAGGTGGAAGTGCAGTTTTTGAGCTGCTGAGCTGAGTCTTCATTGTTTTCAGTTCTTAGACTGTTTCTGTGGGTTTATCACTAGCCTGATCATTTTTGCCCCCCAGTTAACTTACCCTTACATCAGTAGCTCCTATTGATATTTTCAGCTGAGCCACTGGCAAGTTGTATGAGCAGCTTCAGCTTAAGCTGGTACTGCCTGTTACAGCAGTTGCCCTATGACAACACCAGCAGGGCTGATTTCCCCAGGCAGCCCTTAACACAGGCGCCAGGGGACAAGCCTGCACATCAGCTTCCTCTGTTCACAAAGCAGAAATATTGGAAAGTCCCTTCAGGTTTGAAAGAATCCATGTTCCATCTACCAAACAAGCACACTGAGAGTCCCACCCCCCAAACAAACATCAGGTGAGTCACAGTTCAAGCAGCTCCAGGTGTGAGTCAGGCAGAGGGGACAGGTCATGCTGTAATGCAGAGTCAGAGGTTTTGCCAAGAGCCAGGCAGGGAAGGGAGGATTGTCCTTTGGCACTGCTGTGGTTCCACACAGGAGGCATCTCCCAGGCTTCCTCCCACCGGTGTGGCAGCCATGCCCTTACCCTGTGTGATGCCCAGAGAACATGGGGTGTCCACAGAGGTGTTCCCAACTGCCCAAGGACTTCCCTGGAGTAAGTCTGAAGTCTCTTTATTTGATGAGGTTTGCCAAAAAAGGTAGTTCTGACTGTATTTGGGGGGCAGTGACGAGTTTGGTGTTGCTGCATGCACCCAGCAGTCTCAACATTTGAGGAAGTTAAATACTACATCCATACCTGATACACTGCCACAAAAGTCTCACCTGCTTTTTAAGGGCACTTTGTGTTTCACCTTTCCATCACAAGCATTGAGGAAACTCTGGTGAGAAAATGATTGGGAAACAATAAACAAAAATAGCTCCAAATTGAATGTGGTCATAAGGAGAAACTCTGTGGACAGGCTTCCTTTTTCCATGTCTTGCACACTTATTTAGGAAACAGCTGGAAATAAGGGTCACAGAAGCAGTGCAATCTGATGCAATGGAATGGAGTATTTAGAAATATTTATTAAATTAAATTATAAAACTTGAACTACCACAACCTGCACTTGTACCTTACTAAAGAGAAACTGAGTATCACTTTTAAAGGGCATTAATCTCCAGCCAGCTTTCCCACCTTCTACATGAAAACATGGCAAATAACTTTTTTTTTCCTCTTTAAAGCAATTTGTCACTACAATCTGTATAAAGACAAGTATAAAAAGAGATCATGTATTGCACAGTGTGTCTATTGAATTATTAGCTGTTGTAGATGACAACTGGTTCAATGAATAGGAAGAAAAATGCTTTTGCTCATAGGGCTGTATGGTCACAGATTTATTTTGCAAAGTCATGTATGTAGATGACCTATCAGTCTGACAATATATTTTTTGGTCACGTTATGGCAGAAAGTTTTCAACTATCTGAATTGGAAAATATATCATTTTTTTATGCTTTAGAGCATTTGCACTAACCCAAGGACATGCCTTCCTCCTGGTCTTATGAAAAGCAGCTAAACAAGAGTTGCTCTTGCAGGTTTGAACACCTGGGTTGGAAATGGGCTCCTCTGGTCTCTGCTTCGTCCTCCCCTCCTTTGTCAGAGGCCCAGGGATACCTGGAGCAGCGGGGCGCAGGCTGGTGGCTCACAACGGGGTCACTTCAACACAGAGGAAAAGGGTCCTGATCCAAGGCTCAGAACTCCTGCCCCAGAGCAGCAACTACTGCAGCTACAAAAGACCAGAGCTGTGAGAACTACAGTGAATTTTCCCCCTTCTCTCCCAACAAAACCTCATACTTTAATCTAAAATCTAGGTGGCTTTTAGGTACTGCATTGAAGATTCATTCCTAAATACCTGGCCACTGCAAGGAAGCCCACTGGGAGCTTGGGTACCTTTCTGTAGTGCTCTCTTTGCCTCCTGGCTGCTGCCAGTTTTGCTTTGGACTGATACCCAAGGGAGTTAGCACTCCAAAATCTGAAAGCATTTACCATAAAGAAAAATGTGCTGTTTACATGCACATACATACATACATGGATTTTCTGTTTTGATTTATAAAAGAGAATACAGTTGCTGAGCTCTTGGGGAAACAGATGCTATCCACACACACAGCGTAAGTGGACTTCTGGGTTTTTAAAGCAGCTGCCTTTTTCTTCCTGCTCCCATATGCAGCCCCTGATGAATCAAAAATATGCATTTAATCCAGAAAATTATTCTTTTAGAATGTTCCGAATAGTCTCTAGAGCTAGACAGATTTTAACATATATTTTTTTATTAAATATGTAAAAAGATAAACGCAAGTCAAGTTATTCACATATTCAGACAAAAATCTACTCTATCATGCGACAGTTTGTGGATAATGTAAAATGACTGATACATCTGAATAAGACTTTTTTGTATCTATTATGCCATTACTTATCTATTTATAATTAACAATACATATGTTTACATTCCTTTCAGTTTACATTTAATATATAACCAAAGCTTTATGGTGTGCTATTTAGTAAAGGTAATTACAAATGCATATTAAAACCATAACAGAAGAATGGGTTACTCACAGGGGGTGGGGGGGAAGGACAACTCTTTCCCCTTTCAGAACACTGCTCTCCCCTCAGCACAGCCACATTTCTGGTGCCTCCAAAGAATTTCACTGCCCTGGCTCCCTACATCAGTCACTCCCCCCTTGATACAAGCAGTGAGAGGGCTATGGTCCTCAGATCAGAAACAGGATGCAAGGAATTTTCAGGAAACGAAGTTCAGCTTTTTTTAATATTTTTTTCATATGTGCTTCAAAAGAGAGAAAAGAAGAGAGGCACAACAGCCTGGCTATGAACTGTCTGGGGAGCTCAGCAACCCCAACCATTTGCACCTTCAGAAAACTGTTTTCCCTTGAAGTGCTCTCCATGCACCTGCTTGAGTATTGGCAGAAAGATGAACTCCAGTAGCAGACACATGCTGATGAAATTAAGTTTATAGCCTGATCCCAAACTCCTTGCCCCATTCAGAGATCCCATAAAGGTTAAAGGACATTCTGGAGTCTGGAAAAAAAATTAGTAACTGCTCTTCAACAGTATTATGAAGAACTACTGTTTATTACAATGACAATTGTAATAAGTACATATGTTCTAATAAACACAAATACAACAAAAATGACAATTCCCCCATTTGTGGTGATTCTTGGAAATAATTATTTTGGAAAAAACACGATTTTATAAACCAGACCTTCTTTGTAACCAATTGAGAAGGGAGAGGAAAGCGCTGGCCTGCAGGTTGCAGTAGTTTGATTTCATCACTGGGTAGGATGTGAGGTCAATACTGGGTGCAGAGCTGGGAAAACTTCAGCCTGCAGGGTCCAGAAACTATTCTGCTGTGCAGGGGGAGGATCAAAGAACTGGAAATACCTGTTCTGGTGCTCAACAGCATTTTATATATTGTTGGTGGTGCAACACAACAGCAGGGTTCTCACATTTAACTAAGAGCCACTTAGCTGCAGAAGATTGATTAGGAATGGAAAACTGCATGTGCATGTGTGTGTGCCTGGGGGCTGATGTGTTGGAAACCTTTCTGTGGAAGTATAGCTGGGGACCTAATGCTTTAGAAGCCTACAAACACCTAAAATGATTTAGCTGTCCAATAGGCTGTGGAGTTTTTCAGTGAATGCCAATTGGGATGGGACTTCCACGTACCTGCTAAATCAGCACAGCAAACCAGAACTCAGAAAATGAAGTGAGAGACCAAGAATACCAGGCATCAAATAACCAGAGAGACTACAATGTGCAGTGCTAGGAGAAGAACAAGGAATGCTTTTTATACTTCAAGATACCTCTCCTTATAAAATACCATCATTTAGAACAGGGCCATGGGACCAGCCTGGAAGGGAATGCTCCCACTGCAGACATCTCCAGTGCACACATGGTTCTGCACCACGCTGGCCTTAAAGGAGAAAGGTCAGCCAAGAGCAGAACCAGCTCTGTGCCCTCAGTCAGATGGTCTCCTTCTAATGTGTGCCCTGTCTCCAGGAGGACTCCTCACTGCTTCTCCATGCTTTAGAAGCAGCCTTAAACTTGTGAAGTGTCCACCATCCACTTACAGGGGAGTTTGGGGTATGGTTCGGGGCCAGCGCTGTTGCTTCTTCCCCCCATACTTTGCACTAGTGACCAAATTTCTGTCTTCTAGACTTGTATGGCTGGGGAAGTGGAAGGGGGAAGGAAAGTGGAAAGAAATGTGTGGCCTACTTTCTCCTTTTCTGAGAAGCAGGAAGCCAAGGATGATGGTACAGACTGTGTCCTGCAGCTACACTTGTGTCAAGGAGATTTCTCTCCTCCCTCAGCACTGAGCTCTGCGGAGGTAGAGCTGCGGCTGGAGACTGAGACTGGATTCCTCAGAAAGGAAGAAGAGCTGGGAAATGTCTATTGACTAGTTAGGAAACTGGGAGGGTTTTCAAAAAGCTTAAGTGGATGTCTCTTCCTCCAGAAATCAGCCAAAAAACATACCATGCAGCTTTCTAACAAGCTTCCTAACACAGGGGTTTAAATCTCCCAGTGAAACAGATGCTCTGCCTTCCATTTGTGAAGGCAGGAAAGGAATAAATGTGAGCAACACAAGCGTTTTCCTCCACAACACAACCTCATTGTTATGACTTGAGTATGATATCCACTGTATCCCTTTATTTCAACTGTTTGGCCAAATCGATGCCCCAAGGCAGATGTACTAGAAAATGCAAAAGCACCACAAAGTGAGAGACACAGCTAGTGGTACAGAACTCCTTGCCACACAAAATGCCAATATAAATATGTTAGAACAAGTTACAAGTGTATCATACTTAAGACGAAAAAGAAAAAAAAATAAATATATATATTTTTAAAGAGCAGAACAAATCTCAAGCAGCCAAGTGGTGACGTTGCAGTGATGTACAGTAGGTGATGTAGCCCTACAACCTCTTGGGAAGATACACTGAAAGAAGACGCCTGCAAATGCATCTTGGCAAAGTATTGGTACAGAATGCAGTGGTTGGCTGGCACTCACTATGGTACATAAATGTTAATGGCAGACTGGGAGTGAACTGATTTCAAGTTTGAGGCCGCACATGTTCCATTCTCCAGAAGAAAGTTCTCACACAAAACGAAAATTGTCAGAGATGCTGCATGAGTCAGTACTCATCCTGCTGCTGGGGCTGTTCATGGACTTGCTCTTCACCTTCATGCTCATCTGTGTGGCTCTCCTGTAGGGAGAAAAAGATCCCAAAACACTCTTCAGCAGAAAGCATTCCTCATGTAATCTTGCCCCGTGGTGCTCACTGTAGCATAAAACTTAATTTTCATGCAAGGAAGTACAAAATGAGCTGTTACCTGAGCAAAGCAGCATCTCATAAAATTATATTGAAATGTACTTTCTTTACTTCTAATTGAGGCATATGCAGTACTGGTAATTCCCTAGAAGAAAAGTCAGCTTTCAACATTGCTATCTGTTATCTGTTCTGGTGAGTGAACGAACACTTTGAACAGTTAGACAGTGATATGCCAACATTTAGATCCTGTACCACAGCATCCTTATATCTGCCCATTTTCAGCTTGTCCAAGGTTTTCTGAACCTGTCTGCTGTAGTTTTCACACAATCTTCTCTCAAGGTTTAGATCACTAATTGGACAAGACACTTTTACTATCACCTGCTTGAAAAATTCAACACAGCCTCTTTTTTGAGGTCAGGCATATTACTTTCCCAAAAGTTTTACGTTTCCCATGCCAACTCCCATAGACTTGCAAACACATTTTCTTGGGGAGGCTGAGGGGAAGAGCCCCGTATTCACTGACTTATAGAGCTACTGTAAAAAGCACTAATTACTAAGTAATCACTTCCCATTGTTTTTATTCTCAGTATTATCCAAAACTGTCTCTCTAAATATACATTCCCACTGGAAGATGAATCCCTGACACAAGGAAAGGCTGTATCCCCGCTGCAGGTGACACCAGTTATGAACAACTTTCAAATTACAGGCAACAGGCCTAGTATCCTGAGTTGACCTCAATGTTATCTGAGCTCAAAAAGTCTGGCTGACTTTTAGAGCATCCCTTCTGGACTGCCATTAAGCACAGCTGCATTTACAGCTTTCCTCTCAAGTGCTTTCCATCTTTCCACAGCACGGTTCACTGAAGAGATCCTTCTTGTGTATGCTCTGCCCTGCATTAGTACTGCTCTGCCCTAGGCAGTTCCAAAGGAAAACACTTTTCCAGCACACTGAGCTGCCATTCAAAATCCAGCATCCCCAGTGGGCTACCTCTGCAGAACTTGCCTGGCTCTCTAACTTTTGTTAGAAGCAAGCGGCTTGAACAACAAACTTTAACAAATTGCTACTGCTAAGTTTTCAAATTTGAGGCAAAATCAAAAGAAAAGGAAGGCCATCATTTTAGTTTCTCCACAATAGTCAGAGCAGCTTATGAAACAAATGAATTCCCTTCTGGCAGTAAAATACTTATCTAAGGGCAAAAGTAGAATAAGGTTCCTAACATTTGGAACAGCCCAATTTCAAATGAAAGCAAGTTTTCTATCACTCAGGTGCCATTTTCAGATAGGAGTCACACATCAGTCAGGGCAGTTGAAGTTAAGTACGTTTTGGCCCCTTGGGGGAAATGATGCCCTTATTACATACAGTAGGTACATCATGTCAAAACAGTTTTGTGAGCAAGTACCCAAAAACTGCAGCTCCTGTGATGGGCTGCAAGGGTGCAGGATGTGCAGAGAACAGGAGGTTCACAGGGAGGAGCTGACAGCTGGGAGAACGTGACCCTGCCCTGCAGGGTGAGAAAACTGAAGCTTCTTTAGCCGCAGTGAGTGATGCTGCCTTAACCCCATCTGTCCTGACCCTCCTTCTGTGCTGAGGTGACCTGCTCTGGAATGCACATGTTCCATAGGCCCTGTGAGTGATGAGATGCACTGTTAGAAAGCCCACTTGTGCAGACTTTATGGGTTATGTACGTGCTTTCCTCTCATCCGTACAACAGGAAAAGCCTCTAAGCACAGGGAGTGGAATCTATTCCACAGCTCTGAAGAGGAGTGGTGGCCCCTATTTTGTCAGGTTTATCTTTGATGGAAATAGTGAACCTTATAATGTAACTACCTCAGAAGGTGTTTTGAGACTTGGGACATGTTTTTCAGTATGTACAGCTTGTATAAAGACATGAAATGGGAACCATAAGAGTCCAATTACATTGGGAGTGTGGAATCTCATTGAACAGCATCCCCTAATAAGGAAAGTAGTGGAAGATCTATTTAGAGCATTTATTTCTGGCTTGAGCCACATGACCATGGTCATCTCTGTCTCCCATGTTGAGAGATGGTCTCTTTTGACCCTTGGATCTATCTGCTTCAAATTATTCAGGTGTGCCTGTAGACTGAAGAGTTAGACTATGAAAACTTGGTGTTGGGGAGGGTGGGGGCCTTTTCCAAAAGTAGCAGCAGATATAGAAGCTGCTAGAGCAGAAAGTCACCAAACCAGCTGCATTTTGAGCAATTGCTGTTGGAAACTGAGCAGACCAAGTGAGATGCCCAACATGAGCAATTCTCCCAACTTCTACATGAACTGAACCACAAGAGCCTGTGTAGGAAAGCAAAAGCTTTTCTACATGACCAAGTGCTTTACACACTGAGAGCACACATCTCTCCACCCCTCACTGTTCTCTGGCAACTTTGATGTTTTTGATGAAGGAGTAGGATTACAGATGACCAATTCATAATTAAAAATTACAAAGGCCTACAGACTGATCAGACAAATGTTAAATGAGAGTAGAAGATATGATATCCCTCCTGCCTAAGCAGAGATATAATGGTGAGGTTTAAGCAGAACCATAATAGGGAAAAGAGAAGAAAGGCTCTAAAGAGAAGGAACCAACTGGATTGATATTTGCACTGCTCAAATTCACCAAAATCAAACAAAAAAAAAAAAGAAAAAAAGAAAAAAGAAAATGTTTAGTCTTAAAAAATTAGTTCTTACTGAACTAAGCAAAACAGAAGCTTAGGAGGTGACATGACTGAAACTACACTATAAACTGAAATTCTGAGAAAAATAATTACTCCACTTCCCACCCCAAGACATGAACCTGATCAAAATCTCTTCAATGCAACACTACAATAATCAAACACCTGGGGAATGATTCTTTGAGGGACTGAACTCTATACTTGCATTTTGAATAATTCTGCACATAATTCACCTAACAGCCTCATGGCCTGACTAAGAAAGCCTAATTGCTGTCACCAAGGGATTAACCTGCAAAATACTGCAAGATAAAGAATTTAGCTTAGGACAAATGCATTACAGAGGAAGAGAGAAAAAAACCCAACTCAGATCTGAAGGGCAAAGCAGGGCAATAAGAGAGTGAAGTCCAAAACCAAAAAGCAGGCAGAATCTGAATCAGCACTAAGCTACAGTCTTTGGCTTAGTGCTAATACATTTGAGTCTTTCCTCAGCAAGTTACGGTCCATCTGTTAAGCTGAGGAGATCAAGCCTCCCACCAAAAGGAACAAAAAATTGTGTGAGGAATGGGCCTCTGCATTCCTCTGTGGAGGAGCAGTGCTCTCCTGCTGCAGTGACACACCCAGTCTCCAACAGCAACCACATTTTAGATGAAAGCACAGTTGTATGTAGTTCACATGCAGGCATGGATGATGATTTCATCAGAGAGAGGCTTGGAGGGAAGAAGCAGATAAAACACTGGGAAATGGGCTGAAGTAGAACGGTTTGTAATGTGTTCTGCCAGTAAGGAATACTGCAGAAGGAAAAGCAACAAATGCATTCCTTGATGTGGAACCACTCTGCTATTTAAGCCAACAGACAGATAGATGTGGTAGGGGTATGGGGAGAAGAGGGATTTTTCTGGCTTTGCTTTATAAATAAATCACTGCTCTTGAATCCAGAAGACATTTTCCCTGACCACTATATATATGTAACACTTTTACCCTGTTATCACATGCCTGGCAAATTTGTCTTATTGTTTATTCCTGTGAAAATAATGGTTTCCTCCTCCTTTTCCTCTCTAGCACTCACTCTGCACTGCTGAACAAATCCTCTTTGCCTTGTCACTTCTCATCTGAGCAGTGGCACCTGTTAGCTTCAAACTTGTGGTTCTCTTGCACCTAACTTTCAAACACTTAGGCCCTACATTGGCCTCTTTTAGAAAAAGTATGTTGAATTAGTAGTTCCTCCAGCACTAGTTTTGATATAAAACTAAGTCAGCTGACTGCTGCTGCAACAGCTTTCTGGGAGCAGATGTAAGAACAGCCTATGGTACCACAGTGCTGCCAAGGGATTAAGTTGATGCTTGTACACTCTGGAGCCAAAGCCTTCCTCCACTGGTGCCTGAAGGGTCAATTGTCAGTACAATCCATACAGGGATTTAGTTAACATGAATGGGAGTAGTTCATCTAAATCTCCACTGAATCATTATCCCTGAATGTCTCTGAGGAATTTAACCAGCACCCTTTGCAGCTTCTTGCTTTGTTCAGTGTCTACAACATTAAGTCTAAGATGCAATGAGATTCTTGCTTAATCTTGCAGACAATACATTCTGAAATTTTGCTAATAGAGGATTATTTGGTTTGCACAAGAAAGAATTTTGCCTATAGCAACAGGATAAAAAATGCTAAAGAGCATTATCTTTGTAGATATAATTATGTATTTGGCAACCTGCACCACACATATTCCAACACATGGGCCAGAGAAGGTTCACAGCTGTAGACAGCGAACAGCATCTCTGCCAGAAGTTTTGTGATTTGCAACACACAAAAGAACATGAGTAAAAGACTTCATGCACATAGGGGGAAGATGAAGAAAACAAAACAGGCTCAGAAACATATGAAATCAATTTAAAATTGTGAAAGAGACCCTCCCCTTTTAGATAAAGCTCAGCAAACCCAGAATACAAAACCTACACTGAAGCAGTGAAAAGCAACAAACCTCCTGAATCCTCCCCTCAAGCTAAACGTCTGTTGTTTGCAATTTCAAATGCAAACCTCCTTTTTGGGGAGGAGTCACAGGAATCCTAGCTGCAGTTCTAAATACAGGATATGACCCAATACTACACCAGTAAAATTTTATGCAATTAAGCTTTTTTTGTTGAGATAAAAACCATTAAGCTTCAACTTACATGTTCATCTGAAGCATAAAGGACTTCCATTAGCCGATTGACAAGGTCATTCTCTCCCCCATGTTCTTGGCAGAGAAGTTCAATCTCCCTTAATTTGCCAAAATAGAAATCCCTTTCCTTCTCCACGCCTTCAAGTGCAAGCTTTAATGAATGTACCTGCATATAAACCAAGACATGATGCATCAGTTTTGAGGTGCACTACAGACAAAAGAACACAGTCTAAAATTTTGTATGTGAAATGATCTTAAATACATATTTGATTTTTTAGCTTGAAATGAAGTCCAGTTTTCTTTCTGCAGTGCTAAATTGAACCTTACCCCACAGAGAATCAGGCTCCCCCACTACTCCCCCTGGATACTCCTTAACCTTCACCCTAAAAGGTCAATTTTCTCAGCACTCCTTTAAACTGAAGCTCAAAGCAGCAGTGAGGAAATCAGGGCTGCCTAAGCCATGTCTCCTAACAGGATTGCCAGAAATGTCATATAGTGGTAACTAATAAAACTTTCAGCTCAGTACTTGCATTATTTTGCCTGGACAAATGTGTAGTTGTTGGGAAACCTACAATGTCTCCTTGCCTAAAAATACATTGAACTAGCAGAGGATGGAAATAGTCTAGTTAGGAAATTAAAAGGTCCTCAAGTTACAAATGTGCTATTGCTGTGTTGGTTTTCACCTCTACTGTTCTGCCTCCTCACTTACCACATTTTACAAACCTGTGTTTCAGCTCTCTGCTGCCATGACTGGGTGTACCACAGGCTACCTGCTCTGACTGATGTGCTGTTTCTACCAACAAATTCTCTCAAATGCCAAGTACCTTTCTCCTTGCAACCTTGTTCACAAGAGTCTTCAAGCTATGCTGTCAGCCTCAATTTTACTACTAGGACTGCTGCAAATAATTCATGGGCAATGTAGCTGTTAATGATTAGGCTTTGTATAAATCATGACAGATGCTGCAATATATTTTTATACATATATATTTTAAAAAGAGAGGTTTTGTGGGGGCATAACATATAAACTTCTGTCTAATGGGGTATACACAATCAGGAGAACATCTAAGTGGCTCAGAAATTCAGAGGACAGCAGCATAAAAACCAACAGAAATAATCACAGATAAAGCTGTCTACAGTAAACACACTGACCACAATCACATCCAATTACAACCAAACATTCACATTTTAAATCCTGCAATTATACAAATGATTTTCTAAATAAAACATGCTAAATAAATGAAATCATACCAGACTACATTTCAGTGAAGTAATATGATTTAATAGAAACCTCTGTGTTGCCAGATCTACTGCAAGTTAATTTATTTCCTTCACTAGTCAAAATACCAGGAGAGTTCAAACAATGCTTTGATAGCCTACTAAATCCTTTCAGTTTGTTTTTCCATGACTGCTGAGCTAGGGATGCCTTTTTCTGACCTTTGATTGCACTCTCAAAGGCATCAAGCAGCAGAACTGACCTGTTACCAGAGCAGGATCTCAGGGCACCTCATTTATGCACTAATTCATTTCTGACCAGCTGTCTAAGTGTGACACTCAAGTCTTCCTTGACAGTTTGAATCCATTATGGATATAATGACCAGTCACCTTAAAATTAACTACTTTTTTACAAAAGTAGGCATAGCAAAATGAAACAGGAGTTTACAATATTCTGATCTATAGATGAAGACCTCATAATTAAGATGTGCCTTCTGGACCTGCCACAGCATATTGCTTGAGAGCAATGCCTGAATCCAGCCAGAATAAGAATGTAACTGCTTCCAGATCTCTTGCTCTGTGCTTGCTAGAGCTTGGGAAAACAATGAACTTCAGCTGAAAAACTGGCAGCTAATAGCTGAGACTATCTCCCCTTCTGACCTATTTACTATGAAGACATTCTCCTGTTTTCATTCTCTCACATTCATGCTGTTTAAAGAAACAAAATCATTAAACTCTATAAACATATGCACAGACTTAATTAACTACTGTATATAGTAAACATTATTATAACCAAACTAGATATGCTTCCCTTCAGCTCCAGCTACCTGTCTGTGCCACATGAATTCATATTTCTTCACACACTTTGCATATCTGCATCTTACTTTTTCCTTCCATAAGCATGCCAGAAGGCTGACACTTGAGGAACAGCTCATGTCAGCTCCCATGCTCTATTTCTGGACTGAAAGCACCCCTCTGCAACCCAGTTAATGGGTGCAAAGGCAGCAGTTCCTACTGACTGGACTTTTCTCTGCTGGCACTTACTAGTTAAGCTGCAGATTAGGCCCAACTGTAGGCAAAAAAGCCACAATGATGCTGTTTTCAGAAACTATATGTATACCAGCACACAGCTAATAGTTCCTGGGACCATTCTCCATCTGTAAAAGTCCCTCTCTGTATGCAATAGCCCCTGGTTTGTGTTGTCACCTCAGCTGCCCTCAGACACTCTTTGGGAGAGAGTAATTTCAATGCTATGGGTAATCAAGTTCCAGTGCAGAGTGACACTCCTTGGAATTTAATTTTGGAGTTTAATTTACTGGCACAGTTTGAAGATGATTTTAAGAGAAACTTTAAGATTGTAGGGAGCCATTCACTGGCAAATGTTAGGGACGCTTACAATTATTACAAATAGCTCATTAAGCTACACTATGGTAAAACATAGTGTACAGACATCCCCACTGATTAAACTTTTCTGCTACAGGTTGCATGGAAGTTCAGATGTTTCCATCTCCTTCGACTGCTATCCATGAAAGGAATGAAAAAACTATTAGAGCCACATAGGACCCTGATATCCAAGACACAATTCAGCATTTCTTACTTATAATCAACACAGAAACATAGTAATGGTGGCTGCTGCCTCATCTCCACAACTGCTGCAGAGTAGTAAAAACCAGGCAATTTGGCTCTTGCAGCATGTTCACACTGGGGGTCAGGAAAACCTGGCTCAGAGCTGCTTGCAGCATAGCTTTTTTGGCTCGTGTAATACGGCACGGTTTACAAGTATCCATTAGTGGGAAATGAGATACCAAATGCTGTCAGCATTTAGAAAAAAAGGCTTCCATACCATTCTAGCTAGATGATGTCTCTTAAAAACTAGCTATTAAGGAATCAGTTTTTCATATCCTCAAAATTTCTTCTTCTCTTCGGTGATGGGGGAAATCACCAGTTTTCCTTCAGGGTTATTTGTATATAAAGCTTAAGGTTTTCACACATGGAACGTGCTAGGAATATGTTAGCAGTGGATGTGATAGTGACTGTCTGTTTCAGTAAAGATCAAATGTTTCTATGTTGCTCAGATGCCAACCAACTCTTCCTCCTGAAGCAAACACATTCTGACTTCTGAGTACAAATGTTGTGGTTTAAGTTGCATTAAGCTGACATTTGAACTCTGCTCGACACTGATTAAGAAAAAAAGGATTCCATGCAAAATATATACATCCATTCCTTGTGCAACATTTAAAAACTTTTCGGTTACAGCAACAATCTAGAGCCCATTTGGAAAGCAGGAGGATCCCATTGTGCTCTCTGCTGCTCAGAATGATACCCTGAATCCACAGAAAGCCATGTCTGGGATGTGGCTATCCATCCACCACCTTTCAGTGTACAACTCATCAAAAACATGCAAACAGTGCCCCAGCAAACTGAAATCATTGCTGTTCAGGTCAATGAAAGTCTGAAACTGAAATGTCCTTAACTGTGGAAAATTATACTTGATTCAGAATAATGACTGCTTCCTGAATGCAGCTGCCAGGAACTCTAAAATACAAGTTTTTTCCTTTCCATTTTCCCTCACCAAGGACAAATACAGGCATCAGGCCTCATATATAGTAGTGGCATTTACACCATTCTGACAGCACAGTCTTAAGCCAGATGCAGGTATTTATTCCTGTCCAGTGCAGACACTCTTGCAGTTCAGAAATGAGAGAATGGTGTAAAGCTCCAGAGCATAAACAAAAATGAAGCCCTTACATTCCTAACATTACAGAAATTCTGAACTTTTTCAATTATATCACAAAACATTATTTAGTTATAATATAGTTACAATAACTATGTATTCTCAGAAAGGTAGATTGCATTTTTAAATGAAAATGGTGTGTTAGCTTCTTTAACACCTTCCTTCCAGAAAGCAGAGCATAATGCTCTAGACTCACTTTAACTGCAAATCTCTTAACACCTTGGTATGACAAACAGGCTTGTTTTCTCCACAGTGGCACATTAAAGGATTTATTTCAAATTAGTAATACACAAGAGCAAAGACACTATTCGGATTTTTCCTGTCCAGGTGAAATAAAAGATATATTTCAACATCTAATAAAATTACCATGCTTCAGCAAGACTTATGTGTCACTCCTAAGATCATAATTTAAAAATACTGGCAAAAATCAGTCATCTCTGCCAGACATTATTTTTTACAATAAATCTCTTCTTTTTTTATTTCTTTCCAGCTGAACTATTTCCACTTTTTGTCCCTTCGTAATTCTGAAGAGCATCATTCATCAGAAGACAGTATTAGATTTCATGCCTGCCTGTGACAATGAATGCATCTACTTTTGAGCCTAAAGCAAATTTACCTGTTCACTGAGCTGTATGACTTGAGTTTCCAAATCTTTATCTGATTTGGATGCTGAGCTGCTTGGTGTAGCTTTTTTTGCTGAAGATGGGCGAGAAGGTGTTGATCCTGGTTTAGAAGCTGGACTGGACTTAGCAGCACCTGAAAAACACAGTAAATAAGTAAACATTAAACAAGATTGATCTCTATAATAAATGCATTCCTATTAACCTGGTACTGAAACACAAGAATTGATTTCACAGCCATCCATCCTTTCTCTTACTTCAAGGTGACAGTAGAGGAAATTCCACTGCTGTTATGCCTTGGGAAAGGAAAACCCACATTTCCTACCAATCTGAGTCTGCTCCTGAGAGTGAGGCAACTCTAAAACCAAAATAAACAACATCACACCAGGAGTAAAAAGTTCCCTTAGATCTGAGCAGCTTCCAGCTCAAATAAAATATGCTGTTAAAAGAGCATTCCCCCATCCCATTACTTAACATACGCAGCTATCCTCAATTTCCCTGGAGAAAGACAGAGCTGAAATAGTCAGCTAAACTGCCTCTGTGCTTTTTTCATTTTGAAATGTAAACCACCCTGAGACAAGGGCATTGAAACTCAGACAGAGCAGAATTAAACCCATTGGTGAACTCACAGTTGGCCACAGTGACCAGAAGATGTGTTTTGATATCCTTAGGTTTTCCTATTTCTTTTTAATTACTTGTGCTGCGAAGCTGCCAGAATATGGAGCAACATCTTCACCAGCAAAAATGGCAAATAATGAGTGCATACTCAGTAATGAGTGCATGACTCTTTTCCCACAATGACTTGGCACATAAATGCCCAAGCAGAGCAGCAGTTGTGTGAAAGGGTTTGCAGTGCCTTCACAGGAACCTCCCAGGCAGCTCCTCACGCCTTGCTCTGCCTCTCCACCTTTCATTTCTTGATGCTGGCTGTTCCTTACAGTCACTGAGCCCAAACACAAGTGCCTGGCTCACAGCTCCTCCCCTGCCTCAGCTCCCACAGGCAATGCACTCTGCCTTGGCCTTTTCTTATTCCCTCCAACAAGGAATAAATTCGAGATGCACTGGAGGGACATCTGATACCAGTTTGGTTAAGAAGACAAAACAGAAACCCAGCCTCCCTCTGGCCTCTCTGATTTATTAAGCAGGCAGGCACGTGAATCAGAGGTCCTGCTCAGCAGCACCCATGTTCATCACTGATTCCTACAGCGAGCAAAACACAGTCATCCAAATGTGCTGACAGGCTCCATGCCATCCTCCACCATCAGATGCTGTCAGTTCTGAACCCTGAGCCACACAGGAGACAGCCCTGATCCAGCAGGCATCCAGCTCCCAGCTGAGCTCTGAGCTTGCTGCTCACCACTTCCAGAGGGGTTTTGCCCAGGCTTTCTCAGCAGCCACCTTCTACCCCACACCTCACCAGCTGCTCCTCCCAAAGGATTACTTAATTTATGGCACACCACAAATTGTTCTAAGTTGTCATTTCCACAATGTATCCCCAGTGTCAGAAAATGCTTTAATAAAGCAATTCTTTGTAAAACCAATGTATTAAAAAAAGCCATTACTAGGAAGAAACTGCAAGGAGGCAGGGAGAGGAAGAGACAGCCTGTGGGGCTGTCCATATGCCCAGACTGTGGAGCTCACAGAGTCTCACTGACCTAGAACTGTGACAGTAGTTCATTGGAGGAGCTGGAAAGGGATGGGGAAGGAGAGCAGCAATGGGTTATTTAATCAAACTTAAGCTTTCCTGATTTAGTCACAGGCCTCCCTCTGTAGAAAGAATCTCCTCCCACCCCTATGGATAACTCTGTATTAACTGGGTCACCTAAAGCCAACAGAACACAAACAAACAACTTGATAATTCAGTTAGCATGTGTAAACATTTCTGTGCAAGACAGCCATCCTCCTTTTCTATGCTCTTTAATATAAGACAGCTAAAGGGAGAAAAAAGCATGCTGGTGGGGTTTTTTTGTGGTTTTGTTATGGGTTTTTTCCCTTTTGTTTGGTGTTTTTTATTTTGGTTTTATTTCTTTTAGAAACTAGTGACTCCAATAGCTTCCATGTCTGTTGCATACACAAACTCTTCTCTAGTAGATTCAGATATAGTACACAGGCCTGATAAAGTTGGGAAAATTCAGTGTTGTGTATATGTCTGAAATGAGACTTTTTTCACATCCTACTTAGACCAGCAAAGAATAAATAATTTGTTGAAAATCGTTAATAATGTTTTGCTGCTATTATTCTTTATGAAATTGTCTAAACTTTACCATTCTACCTTCAATGCTTTCAAGGTTCAGCCCATATTATAACTATGTAAAAATCAGCTGGTTTAGAGCAGGATTGCTAAAATGTTCTCAAAGCCAGGAAAATAATTTTCATTTGGATTAGCAGATGAACAGAAGTAAACTAGTGTCAAAATATGCAATAAGAACACACACATGAAGTAAAATCACTTTGACTCTAGCATTCTAGCTGGGTCTCAAGTTATTTAATGACCAAAGCAGCAACATTTACTTCTTATTGTATTCTACAACTACAAGATGCAGGTTCAGGGTATCAACTGAAAAGTAAATGCTTTAAAGTTGGCACAGAGAGACCTAAGGAAAGAGCAGGCACAAACATTTGATCCCCAGGTATTCTCTCTAATTTGCAGCTGAGATGCCCTCCCAGAGCATGCTGAGCAAGCCTCATCCCCAGTGCCTGCAGCACTGACATTGGCATTGTGTTCTGCCCTCCTTTGAAAGCAACAAAGCCCTTTGGATTTCTACAGCAAAGTGCCACTAAGCTTTATAAAGTCCAGACAAATGAAAAGAAATCAACTTTTGCTCCACTGCTCAGGATCAGCTCTTAAATGACCACAATATTCCAATTTCAGCAACACAGATAAAAACCAGCTAACTAGTGACTAAGAAGTATCAGCAACAGCTGGATAGAGCTTAATTGCACCAGAGAATGCTCAGGGATTTCTAATTTAAAATATCCTGGAAGAAAAAAAAAAGCCTTACTGCACATTTATTCTAAAGCATTTGTTTCATAATCAGCCCAGAAGTAAGCTTCCATTCTAGCAGAAGCCTAATTTCATAAAATAATTAAAGGATGCTGGTTGGTAGAGTAATGCAAAGTACTTGAAACAGCCAGATATCTAAACAGAGACAAAAGATCTTGATAGACTTAATGACTTGGTGTTGAGCAATGGTTTTGCAGTCAATTAGTGCAATAAGGAATAACTCCTAATGCACTGCTCTGAGGGACTACATAACCCAAGCAGTTTAAATTCTTTCCAACATAATTTCTTCCATAAAAATATTTATATATGACCCATTTACACATTCTGAGAAAGCACAAAATTTTATACAGGTATTTTAGGTGAAAAGTATCCAATAATCATCTTTTTTCCCTGATCAGTAAGGGAGAATTGCATTGTAATCTGCAACATAACAGTTTGCCATTATTAATTCCTCTTCAAGCTTATTGCTGATGTTCACAAAGACATGCAGGGCCTTTCCCTGGAAAGGAACATCCCCATGCCCCAAAACATGCTGGCAGCCAAAAGACTGGAAAGCACTGTGGCAGAAGAGGATTTGGGGTTCCTGGTGGACACTGAGCTGAGCATGATCCAGCAGAGCACCCTTCCAGCAAGGAAGGCCAGCAGCCTCCTGGGCTGCCCTGGGAAGAGCACCATCAGCAGGCTGAGGGACGTGATGCTCCCCCTCTAGTCAGCACTGGAGAGGCACATGAGGAATGCTCAGCTCAGTTCAGGGCTCCCCAGGATGGGACAGAGAGAGTCCAACAATGGGCCACAAAGACTAAGGGATGGAGCACCTCACACACAAGCCAGGTCAGAAAGCTCTGTCTGTTCAGCCTGGAGAAGAGAGGCTTCAGGGGGATCTCATCTACACCAGGGAAGGTGCAAAGAAGGAAGGAAACAGGCTCCTTTCAGTGGTCCCCAAAGGATGGGAGGCAATGGGCACAAAATGAAACTCAAGAAATTCCATTTAAACATAAGAAAAAACTTCTTCATTCTGAGGGTTATCAAATACTGGAACAAACTGTCCAGAGAGCTTGAGGGGTTTCCAACCTCAGAGATACTCAAAATGTGACTGGATATGGTCCTGGGCAACCAGCTCAAGGTGACCCTGCTTTCAGCAGAACACTTTGACAGGATTATCTCAGAGGTGTCTTCCCACCTCCACTGTTCTGTGAGAACTTCTGTGACAGCATGCTCTGATTTTAGGTCAGTGCAGGGTCCCAGTTAGAATTTTTTTGTAAACAGTATTGCAGCTGTTTTAATTAGCACCTGGATAACTTTTTGTACCTGCCCACATAACACTAGCAGAGATGAGAAAAGTAAATTCACAATTGAAAGACAAATTATTCTGTTCTTTTACTGAATTAAGATGAGCCAGCTTTGAAATGCATTCGAGGTTTCCATCTGTGGTACTCCAGAAACAATTACTAGTTTTTTTGTTAAAAAAACCCCATAATTAAATGTATCCCACGCAGTTTCAGCTTCACTATTCTTTTTGCTAAATACCTAAGTTCTACAAACAGATGCAAACTTCTGCAACATAAAACAGAGGATGTTGGCACCATGCAGCTTTGGGTACAAAAAAGCTGTGCTGCAAATTCCAGTTCTCTTTACATCACAGGCACAGTCTTGTAACAAGAGACCTACTTAACGTTTAGAGAGAAATCTTCCTTGAAGCTATATGAGTAATTAGTATGCTGTTAAATATTTATGCAAAATTTCAAGGAAACACGTGCATGAATACAGTGTGGACGTGCATAAGGAGAGTGTGGAGAGCAATGGAAGCCCTGAGCAAGCACAAGACTTGGCTGAGCCCACACAACCACTGCTTCAGTGGAATTTGGGAATCACTCACTGTCTATTTTAGTCAAATTAAAGGACTTCATAAAATGAATATTCCTGACTCATACCACAGGAGAAAAACCAAACCCAACAAGAGGCCACAGTAATTTCTTCACAAGCTGAAGAAAAATTCTCCACCCGCTTAAACCAAGAGAGCGAGAACAGCAGATTAATTAATATTCACACACTCTTATTATTGTAGCTACACCAGGACATAAGCAAATGCTCAATTTAGGGACACTTAATGAAATAAGCAATGAAAAATGATA